AAGGTGGCCCCCGCCAAGCCTCCACTTATTATGAATCAGAGTGCAAGACAAATTCTGTGGTTTAAGGAATTGCTTTTGTTGGGGAAAGGGGAAATTTACATAGGGCAAGATTAGCAAGAGTAGAGAAGGCATGAGCCCGCCTTGGTCTCATTATTATTACACAAAAGTCCACACCAGATCAGGGAATTCTGCTATATTTCTTCCAGTGGGAAATCACAGGCTTCTCGATACCAGGCTGTCTGGATTTGAGACTCAGCTATTGAGGAATTTTCTGGCAATGATAGCTGCCTAGCACCTGGAGACCCTGGAGCCTATGGGATGTTGCAATATTTCTCATGGGAGAAAGGGAGTTCATGGTCCCATGGGAAGCTGAGCTTGAGTATGGTCCTTTCTTGTAGAAGAAATCTGCACCACTGACCTGATCCCGACCAGACTGCTGTCCACTTCATCTGGAGTGAATACACAGACATTTTTGCTCATTGCACCACATGTCTAGATTCACATTTACTGTTGCTTTGAAATGCTTCACTATATTGTACTATTTATTGAACACCTACTATATTACTGAGTACCTGCTAATGCTGTGGAATAAGTTCTCTTTTATAGAGTGAGGAACAGAGGCCTAAAGAAATAGTGTAATCTACCATTGCCACAGCTGGCCCATGGCAGATACGGAAATCTGACTCTGATCTCACCGCCAGTGTCCTAAAACCTTTTTCCATTAGGCCTCCCAGCATGGCAGAGAGGGAAAACCAGGGTTTAGAAAAATCAAAATTTCAAACTAGGATTGTCCAGACAGGCTTCCACGTGCTCTGTAGGCAAGTCGCTTACAGCCTTAAAGGTAGTCCTGTCCATGGGGCAAGAACAAGTCCACCACTCCAGGATTGGGGAATAGGCTAAAGGACAATTCTCTAAATGGTAGCGCTAAAAATAAATAAATAAATAAATAAAAATAAATGGTAGCGCTATAATAACATTAATGAAGCAGAGTTTGTGTCTTCTTCACTTTGGGATCTTTGGTGTTTGCTGGTTTCTCGATGGATGTTAGAAGCGTGAATGAAATGAGAATTCCTTTTGGTTTGAGAAGTAGAATTTTGGCACAAGCTGGAAAGCAAAAGGCATAAGGAAACATAAAGGAAACTTAGTAATATCCTATTTCAGTTCACACATCTTTGATAATAAGCCATTGAGGAGAACACACACACACACATACACACACACAGACATTACACCATACATACCACACATTGCAAATAATTCTAGAAGCTAAGTGTGACTAGATTACCTGGCGAAGCTTTCAATGAGACTAATGGGCTTCCTTTCAAATTACCACTGACATCACGCAATCACACTAAATTTTTAAATTGATCTGTCTTGGGTATATTGTGGAGGTAAAACTGAAGTACTATATTTCTTCCTTTCTCACCTTTCTAGTGTAACTTTCAGGTACAAATATAGATTGAAGTGTTGCTGTTGTTAAAATGACACAGTTTTTCACATAAGCTAAGATTAGTTTCAGAAGAGAAATTCACAAGCCATGGTCCAGCCCAGGAACCCCTCATTGTTGACTTCTCAAAGCAGTAAGAAATCAACCTACTCACTTGACTTTACTGAGAACCTACTATGTGCCATGGATGAGTCAAATGGATGTTGTAAAAATGTTCTTGCCTTCTTGTATTTGCAACATGGTTGAAGAGGCAGGGCATGAATATAGACAATTTTCCTAAAGGTGTAGTTGCTGCATAAGAATTAGTATTCTTAACTAATATTAAAACTAAGAGAGGCTTACATAGTAAACCAATGCAGTTAACCACATACTAAGAGGTCTGGGGATTAACAGTCTTAGGGTTGATTGAGTAGTTTAGCCATTGCAGGGCTCTGCATAGCTGTCTTTGAGATAGTCCTGGTATTTCCCTCATGGGCACAAGAAGACTGCTGCACATGTAGGTAAGACATCCTCACATGGCCATGTCTGAAGGCAAGGGGGTATCTAGTGAGAGAGATCTCCTTGCGTACTTCTCTCTTTTTTCATATAAAAGTATTTTTGGAATGCTTCCGACAAGCATACTCATATTGCATTGGCCAGATCTGGGCCACAAGGACAAGCCTACCCACAAGGAAGTCTAGAAATAGAAGTATCTGGGGCTTTATAACAGGAAACAACAAAAAATTAAGAGAGTTGGGAATTGGTTATTGAAAAGCCAACCCAAAGTCAGGAACAATGATTAACTGCCAACTAAGTGGCATAGACTTAGCTTTCTACTAGAATTTTCTTCAGTGATGGACATGCTCTATATCTGTGCTGTCCAATATGTGAGTCACTAGTAATTGTAGCACCTGACTGCTAGAAATGGGGCTAGTGTGACTGAGAAACTGAATTTCAGTTTTATTTAAATTTAAATAACCACATGAGACTAGTAACTGCTATATTGGACAAAGTAGAATGATAAACAATATCTTCTTAGAGGTCAGAGGCAAAACAGCCTTATCACTTTGGGCCAGAATAATGTAGCCTTTGTGGAGGATGAGGAACTCTAAATGGAATCAGAAGACAGTTGGGGTTTGGAAGTTTTCTAAAAGAGTGGACTTGTCCTATGTCAGGGACACAGAAAATAATAAGGTCTTCTTAGGAGATGCTAAGCAGATCAGTTTGACAGAAGTATGTTTTTTTGTGTGGAGGAGCAGGCAAAAAGCTGAAAAGCAGGTTCAAGTAAGATGGCGGAAATTTTTGGACACCAGGTTTGACTGTGTGTAATAGGCAAGTTATGTTGTTGAGTGAAGATTAATACATAAAATGGTTTCATAAGTGGGAAGCTGTTAACCTTGTGAGAGTATGGAAGATTAACCTGGTGATGGTAAGAGGAATGGATAGAAGGTAGGAGATTCAGTTATGACAGTGTTGCCTAGATTTTTTATATTATGGCTCATATGAAAAATGATGGGGCAAATGGATAACGTAGCTCTTGGCCAGAAGTGACCAGCCCAGAGGGTCCTGCGCCCCGAGGCATTCACCTCCAAATCGTCAGATGACAACCACCATGTCCTTATACCTGTACTCTTTTTATGGCATGGTAGTGAGCACCAGCACGTAGCTGGCAACCTCTAAGTTAGCAGCCTGTCCTGAATTAAATAGGTAGTGATGTATATGAAAAAGGAAGAAAAGAACGTGAGATAATTTACAGAAGAAATTGAAACTAATTGGGAACCAATGAGATGTAGTTAGGATAGATTTTGCATTGACAGTGACTCCTAAATTTTGAGAATGATACCAGAAATAAAAATGGCTTGAGAAGTTGTTTGGAAGGCACATGGTGATTTCAGTTTAAGATACGGAGGCAAAAACTGGACCCTGATGGTGGGCATCTCACTGTGGCCCTAGTGATCCATGGTTCTGTAGTCATGCCCTCACATAGATCCTCTCATATTGACTCTCTCTTTGGCCATGTGATTTCTCTGTCCAATGAGACATTAACACGATGCAGGCAGAGGCTTGAGTGTTTGTGCCTTGAGGCTTGTCCTCTTGGAACCAGCCACCCTCACGTAAGGAAGCTAAGGCTAGACCACTGAATGATGAGAGGTCATGGGCAGAGAGATACAGGGCTATGTGAGTTCGTCTCGCATATTCCAGCCCTAGCTGAACTCCTAGCTGAGTGCAGTCATGGCAGTTGACTTCAGCAGAAGGAACCACTCAGCAGAGCTTGGGCATTTCAAAAATTGATGAGAAATAATAAATCATTGTTTTAAACCACTCTGCTTTGGGTGATTTGTTAGGCACTAATAGATAATGAAAACAATATTCAAATGAAAATGTTCAGTGGGCCCTTGGTGATATGGGCATAGAGCTCAGGCAAGAGATCTGAGCCTTAGGTGTAATTTTGGAATGTATTCATGCTTCTGTTGTAGCTCCTACATTGTAATTAAATTGATTGCTTGTCTTCCTCACTAGACTGTGAGCTCTCTGAGGATAGGGACTGGGTCTTTTGTAAATTCTAGTACACTATGTCTGGTTCAAAGCAGATGGATACTCAAGAGATCTGTGCTGACTCATAAAATAAAAGAGTAGAGTGAAGGGACTAGACCCGGGAATCAGATAGGCCAGGCCTGAACTCCAACCCTCCCAGTTGCTGGCTATGTGACCTTTAGTAAGTCACCAGTCCTCACTGTGAAATGTGAGTCATGTCACCTGCCTCTGAAAGCCACCAAGAAGAGCCAACATGCAGTAGACACTCAACAAACTGTAGCTTTTGTTGTTGAGGATGAATGAAGTGGTGGTCGAAATGTGCGCACAAATGAAATCAATTGAGGAAGTGCAGAAAGAGAAGAGCTGTGAACCTGGGAAAGAACAAGGGGGCAGGTGAAGGAAAAAGTGATTCAGAGCTAGAAAGCAAGAGCTAGAGTATGAGAGGAAGACTCAGACCAATTGGAATATCAGGAAAAGAACCAAGATTGGGTATGTTTTACTGGCTGTAAAAGGGCAGAGATTTTTTTTTTTGCAAGATTTTATTTATTTATGTAGAAGAGTGTGGGTGAGCAGGGAGAGAGGTAGTGGGAGAGAGAGAGAGAATCTCAAGCAGACTCCTCGCAGAACACAATGCGGGGCTCGATCTCACAACCCTGAGATCATGACCTGAGCTGAAATCATGAGTTGGTTGCTTAACCAATTGAGCCATCCAGGTGCCCCTGGGGCAGAGATTTTTTTTTTTCTTTATTAACCTTGTTTCAAACTTTATTCCCAGGCTTCTTCAGCTTAATTAGTTGCAAAGAATGAATTGTGTATAAGTAAAAACTGAAAAGAGCTGCAGTGTCCAAGGGGCTTAGGCTTAAAAAATATTAGAGATCTAGATTTTATCAGATCCTTGAACAAAATTTTAAAAAGCGGTCATAATATAAAAATAGCAGCTCCCAGTAACTTCTTCAGGTTTTATCTTCTTCAGAAGTTGACTCAATTCAGGTTGCTTCATTCTTGGAAGCTTCATCAAAATTCTCCACAAGATCTGAACTTCATCATCATCATGCTCTCCGGTAGCAAGTGCTGCGCTTCCATCCACAGATTGTTTGGGCAGAGCTTCAGCCAGTCTTCTTAAACTAGTCAGACTGCACCAAGTTGGTTTAAGATACTGGGTAGCATTTCTGTCAGCCGCTTTGTCTCAGCATGGCCTGTAATGGTGAAAGTGTTCACTGCTAGTGATGCCTGAACTTCGGGGTTGTTAAAGTGGATCACTGGTCCTTGGTTTGTGAACATAGTCACTTCTTCAATACCAGAGATATTGTTTACCCCTAACTTCTTTAAGGAGAAATGAAGTTTTTTATCATCTGCTGTAGCCGTTCTATGAATCACCTTCTTTCGGCGAGCAGTTCCTTTCCCACCAACGCGCACTTGTGCTTGCAGTTTGGCAAGTTTCTCCTGGTTCATGATAGTTTCTTTCATCTTGTTGGAGCGGAAATGGGACTGCGCGGGGGAATAGGGTTGGCCCTCAGGGGGTCTCGAGCGGACCAGCTGAGCTTAGGTGCACACACATGGGAACACAAGATGGCAGTTAGAGGGTGGGGCAGAGATTTTTAAGAAAGACCCTCATCAACATTGCTAGCATTAGTGGTGATAGTTTATGGGGTCTACCATTTGTGTGTTTATTAAATGCCGGACATTGATCCAGGACTGTCAGTAGGGAAACCTTTGGAGGAAAAGACTGGGCTGTCTTGCGTGATCTAACTGTATCCTAACTGGGGTTTCTTCTGCTCTTTATAATGTCTGCCAAGTGCCCGGTGGTTAATAAGAAAGTTTAAACTTTATGTCGTTGGGCTTTCAGTGTCCAGTAGGATCATCAGAGGGAAGGAATTGGTGGAGAATAAAGAAATGGTATAAGAAAGGGGAGTATTATTCGAATTAGGTCTTTTGGGAGATTCAATCTAAGGAATAGAATTCTCTGAAGTCATTTCTCTCAACATAAAGACTGGAAAGACTTGAGTCTTTGAAACTTGTTAAAACACGCACTAAAACCAATAGCTACAAAAACAACCATCAGTTATGCAAATATCTCCCATTCCATTGCGCTAAAGTTGGAAAGAAATAAGGGCAGACTCTTTGGGTTTTTTGTTTTCGTTTTTGTTTTTGTTTTTGTTTTCATTTTAGTATAGTTGACACACAATGTTACATTAGCTTCAGGTGTACAACATAGTGATTCCACAAGTTTCTACATTATGCTCTGCTCACCACAAGTGTAGCTACCATCTGTCTCCATACAACACTACCACAATATCACTGACTATATTCCTCATGCTGTGCCTTTTATTCCATGACTTCCTCATTCCATAACTGGAAGCCTGTGTCTCCCACTCCCTTCCCCCATTTTGCCCATCCCCCGCCTCTCCCCTCTGGCAAATGTCAGTTTGTTCTCTGTATTTATAGGTCTGATTCTGCTTTTTGTTTGTTTATTCATTTGTTTTTTTTGTGGGTTTTTGTTTTTTTGTTTTTTTTTTTTAGATTCCACTTATGAGTGAAATCATATGGTATTGTCTTTCTTAGTCTAACTTATTTCACTTAGCATAATACCGTCTAGATCCCTCCATGTTGTCTCAAATGGCACAATCTGTTATGGTTGTGTAATATTCCAATGAGTATATATACATAGATACGTGTATATATATAACATCTTCCGTATTCATTTGTCTGTCAATGGACACTTAGGGTGACTCCATATCTTAGCTATTATAAATAATGCTGCAATAATCATAGGGGTGCATATATCTTTTCAAATTTGTGTTTTTGTTTTTTTAAATAAATAACCTAATAGTGGAATTCTTGGATCATATGATATTTCTGCTTTTAATTTTTTGAGGAATCTCCATATTGTTTTCCACAGTGGCTGTGCCAATTTACATTCCCACCAACAAGTGTACGAAGGTTCCTTTTTCTCCACATTTTTGTCAAAACTTGTTATTTCTTGTTTTTTTTTTTATTTTAGCCATTCAAACTGGTGTAAGGTTGTTTTTGATTTGCATTTCCCCGCTGATGAGGGATTTTGAGCATCTTTTCATGTGTCTGATGGCCATCTATATGCTTTCTTTGGAAAAAATGTCTATTCAGGTCCTCTGCCCATTTTTTCATCAGATTGTTTGCCTTTTTGGGTGTTGAGTTGTATAAGTTCTTCATATATTTTGAATATTAATCAAAATAAGAGCTGACTCCTAATGAAATCAGATTTTGTGGCTTACCACAAAAATGTAAACTCTGGAGTTTACATTTTTGAGTTTTGCTGCCCACTGTCCATTCTCTCTTTATCAGGTAACAGCAAACTGATTTTGCTCTGGGAACCATCTTTTTCCAATCTTAGTTCATATCTTTAGATGGAGAGGATTTCTCCTCTCCTCCACCCTCTGCTCCAGAAGTAGATGTATGACAAAGATCTAGTTAATAGAGTATCACAACCATGCAACCACAGTGATTGGTTCAGAGATGGGTACTTATCCTAAGCCAAGCCAATGCAGTCCAGCTGGAGCTCATTCTGATGTTTTGCTTGAGCACCTGAAAGAGATATGCCCCTTTCCTACTGAACACAAGCTTGAGATGATGCAAACCTGGAGCTGCCAGCCATCATCACTGGAAGATCTGTTGTCTGAGAATATAGTTGACAAGGTGGAAAGCAGCATGGAGGAATGGAGAGAGCTCTCTTCCTAATGATGTTGCCTAAATTTCTGGATGCAGCTATGCCTGAGCTTTTTGGCTGTATAAGCTAACAAATATCCTTTATTGTTGAAGCCAGTATGAATTGTTTTGCATTACTTGCATTTGAAAGAATTCTGACTGACAAAACTCTAAAATATGTACATGTATTTGGGTATGGAGAAAAAGAGTAGCAGACATATGTCTTTCAACATAATCTTTGAACAGTTCTGTTGTACTGGACCCACTAACCACTCCGTTTTAAAGAGGAGAACTCTGTAGCTAAGAGAGATGAGTCCGTTTGCCCAAAGTCATAGAAGAGAAAAAAAATGTCATTTGAACTAGATGATAGGGAAACAGTGGACAAGTTACTACTGCAGAATGGCCAAACCCGGCCCACCACTTGTTTTTATATGTCACACGAGTTAGGAATGGTTTTTTACATTTTAAACAGTAGAAAAGAAATGCGAAGATGCATTTCATGACACATGAAAATTACATGAAGTTGCCAGTTGGGAAGATGGTTTGAAAGTTTCTTTCAACATTAGACATACTCTTATGATATGATCTAGCAATAGCACTCCTTGGTATTTGCCCAAAGGAGTTGAAACCATATGTCTGCACAAAAAAACCTGCACGCAGATGTTTATGGTAGCTTTATTCATAATTGCCAAAATTTGGAAGCACCTAAGATGTCCTTTAGTAGGTAGTTGGGTAAAGTGTAGTAGAGCCAGACGATAGACTATTATTCAGTGTTGAAAAGAAATGAGATTTCAAACCGTAACAAAATATAGTGGAACCTTAATAGTATATTGCCAAATGAAAGAATTCAGTCTGAGAAGGCTATATATTGTATGATTCCAACTCTATGACATTCCGGAAAAGGCAAAATTATCAAGACACTAAAAATATTAATGGTTGTCCTTTTGTTTATTGTTTTTGACCGTTTTTATAGTTTCTCTGTTCCTTTCTTTTTTATCTTGATCTCCTCCATCATGGTTTGATGACTTTCTCCAGTGGTATGCTTATATTCCTTTATCTTTATCTTTTGTGTATTTACTACAAGTTTTTGCTTTGTGGTTACCATGAGGCTTACCTATAACAACCTATTATCTATAACAGTCTATTTGAGGTTGCTAACAACTTACATTTGATCTCATTTTAAAGCTTAACATTTTGAAGCTTTTAATATTTAACACTATTTTTCACTTGATAATATTTGAGATCATAGCATATGACATCTGAATATACAGAACTATCTAAGAAGCTTGATCTTCTGCACAGTATTATTCCTTCAGAATATTCCTTCATACTATTATTCGTATTGACAGATGGTTAGGTTACTAATCTGTAACATGATCTGTATGTATGCATGTACATCACACACACACTTGGATGTAAATGTCTGCTCATGTATGCAAATGTATCTGAGGGATGGATTTTCTAGATCTTTATTTTCTTTTGATAGTGATGGAAAATTGAATTAAGCATTTTCTTTAGCATTTTTTTCCCCAGGTTTACTTGTTTGGATTTGAAGTGGCAGCAAGGGAGAGGGAAAAGAGTGCCTGAAATTTAAAAAATTAAAAAAATATATATATCTAATAAGAAGAGTTCAACTTTTTTAATATCAAGAAAAAATTACTACTATGGGCAGCTATTATGCTTGTGGTTTTATCTAATTGACCTTATTTAAACCTCTGTGAAGTAGATGTTCTTTTCCTTTTGTGTAGTGAAGAAACTGAGAGTCTGAGTAGTGAATAAGCCCCTCACATTCCCATGTATTATAAGTAGCAGGATTGGATTTGAAACTTTGTCTTCCATTTTAAAAATCCCAATTCATTTCACAAGACATGGCATTGAGCCTTAAAAGCGAATCTAGAGAGATGTTATCAACATAATTTCAGGTTTTGATTTTTAAAACCCTCCAGTGAGGAGTTGGCCTAATATTCCACAGAATTCTTTTCTTACCAGTGCACCACTGAAGTAGAAGGAGGAAGGGCAAAACCCCCTTTCTTCCAACACATGAACAGAGAGAAGGAAGATTTATTATGTAAGAGGCCTATGAACAGAAACAATAAAAAATAGTCATCCTAACTGAATTCAATATCTGCTTATTATCTAGGTCTTTCTAAATTTCTCTCCTTGACAGTACCAATTAGCTACATCTCACAAAGAGGTTTATAATCTGACAAGCCTGAAACCCTGGTAATTAGGAAACTCTTCATTATCACTCATCTTTTGAAAAGCGCAGAGTGGCAGGCAATTGTCAGCTCTAAAGTGGTCAAACTTTAAATTGGCTGAGGATTCCTGAAGCCTCTCCCTCATGTCAGGAGAAGAGAAAAAAGCTGCAGAATTTGGGGCCTCTCTCTCGAACCCATTGAAATAGGGGATTCAAGCCAAATAAGGGAGTCATCTTATTAGCTGGGGCTAAAAA